AGGCCAGGAGTTTGAGAGCAGCCTGGCCAACATGGTGAAACCCCATCTCTACTAAACATACAAAAATTAGCTGGTCGTGCTGGCGGGCGCCTGTAATGTTGGCTACTTGGAAGGCTGAGGCAGAATCGCTTGAACCCGAGAGACGGAGGCTGCAGTGAGCCAAGATCGTGCCACTGCTCTCCAGCCTGGGTGACAGAGCTAGACTCCATCTCAAAAAAAAAAAAAAAGAATTCGGATATTTGTGTGAAAAACAACACTTTTGTATGGTAAAGATGACACACGATAAAGTGTTGGCCATGGGTGTGAGAGGGTGGTCCCTAACCTGACAGAGCCTTTACAGAGTCATGCCAGAAAGATGAATACCCAAGTTGAAAATCAGTCCCTTGGGAGAGGGGAGGTCGCATGAAAATGAGCAAAGCAGCCCCTGCTTGTCCACGCGGGGCCGGGGGACACTCCTGCACCCGGCACAGCTCCTTTCTCAGTTGCTGAAACATAGAGACGTTAACAGGTGGTCCTTAGGGGCCTGGCAGGTACTGTGGAGTCCACAGGCCCTGCCAGGGAGCCTGCCCGGACTGCAGTGGAGACAGTTTGTCTGCCCATCCTGTTAGCTGGAGCCAGCACTATTTTAATTTGTGTTCATTTGACCTGACAGTCGTAAGTCATCTTCAACCATGAGAAAGTTTAAGTTGTGATTCCGTCACTTCTGTGTGCTCATATCTTGTGTTCTGTTGCAGGGAAGTGGGAATGTCCTTGGCATCATTGTGACGTGTGTGGCAAACCTTCAACTTCATTTTGCCACTTCTGCCCCAATTCATTCTGTAAGGAGCACCAGGACGGGACAGCCTTCAGCTGCACCCCGGACGGGCGGTCCTACTGCTGTGAGCATGACTTAGGGGCGGCATCGGTCAGAAGCGCCAAGACTGAGAAGCCCCCGCCAGAGCCAGGGAAGCCAAAGGGGAAGAGGCGGCGGCGGAGGGGCTGGCGGAGAGTCACGGAGGGCAAATAGCGCCAGGCGGCAGCTTGGCCGGATCCACGGGCGGTGTAGGGCGGCCGGCCCTGCCTGCGGGAGAGGGCGAGCATGAACTGGCCCAGAGGACCCAGCTCGAGCCGCCAGGACACAGACGTACAGGCCTCCTCGGGAGGGAGCGCCTCCCCACCACTGAGCCATCCTCAGCAGCATCTGCTGCGTCTGCACTGATGACCGTCTGAGCCCAGCTCAGCGTTCCTGGACAAACAGCCTCACTCCTCAGCGTTACCGCCACACTTGAATTTCTCAGAATGTCAAGGTTCCCTCCCACTCTTATTTTTTTAGGTTAAAGTTAATTGGCATATGGAATGTTTTAATCTCCTCTGAAATGTGTAGCGTAGGCTTTTCCCGAGGGTCGCTAGAAACTCGGCTTCGCGTTGCTCTGCTTCTGCTTTCAGCGCCGTCGCCACTCAGGAGAGGCCGGGTAAGGCCCGTGTGAGGACTGACCCTGGATTCCTCGAAACCGCCATTGTGATCATTACTCTGCTCTTTGGAAATGGCTGTATCATTTTTTTGTACTAATGTGAATTGTTCCTCAGAAATGCTTCTTTTCCATCCTAGTGAGAAGCTGGCCACGCAGGTGGTGGCAGCAATGGTGGTGTAAGATTTCCTCCCGTCGTTTTTTCTCCTCGTGGATTTGAATGAAATGCCAATAACACGTCCACTTCAGCGTGTAGTTCCCGCGGAGCACTTTCGAGGCCTGGCCGGGTTGGGCCGCGTCTCACCTGGGCCTATCTTCTGAACTCGCTAGGTTCTTATCAACATTTGGGGGAGAACTTTGTATATTTTTTTCATTTGGCTTTTCTTTACCAGTTTCTGATTTTTATTCTCAATATATTTTTGCTAAACCTGTTTCACAAATCACCACCGACTGAAATGTGTCTTTACTGATGCGACCCTGAGTTCCATGGCGAAAGGAGTGACTTCCGCAGGGCCTGAGACCACAGTGCGCTTAGAGCACAGGAAGTGACAACTTAGGGAGCCCCGCAGGGCGCGGCAGGCCCCAGGGACCACAGCACGCGGGTCTACAGAGAGACCCAGAGTCTAGCCCTCCTGCCACCCAGAGTGGCTTCCATGTCAGCACTCGGGATCTGCTGATGGAAGACGCAGACTCTGCCGATCAGTCGCCCTCCGCCAGGGCACCCACTGAGAGGTGTGGTCGTGGGGGTGGAGGCCTGCCTGGCAGGTGTGCGTGCCCCGCCCGTGTGTCACGGGCACTGGTCCAGGCCAGGTCTGACACCCACTTTCCTGTGAGGTTTCGCTTTAGTTTTTAAAAGGTCCAGTTCTACAAAGTGAGACCTATCTGAGTACTACGTATGTTGTAAGAATTGGTTCTTTCTTGAGGGATCCGCGACCCTGGGAAGTTTGGAGCACCCTGAGAAGGGGGCACGGTGTGTGCCTCTGCCCACGTGCCCTGAGGGGCTGCTTGTCTGGGAGGGAGGAGGGAGAGAACATTCAGTAGCAGGTGCTTTTTTATGGTCTTTTCTGAAAATAACCTAAGGAGGACACATCCATATTGCAGAGAAGTTTACAAAACTCCCCTTGAAAACTGCTGCTGAGGCTCCTGTTAATTTTCTGTGGCATCTTTTATGCCTTGGTAAACTGCAGTGTCTTTGGACCTGAGACTGGCTACTCTGTGGTTTTGTGACCTGTAAGCGTGGGGTTTGGGGTGTGTGGCCTACAGGGTCCCACGCCTCCCTGAGCACTGACTGGAAGTTTCACTGACTGGTGGCTGTCCCTTCTCCCATCACAGTCCGCAGCAAAGTTAACTACACAGAGGACCCAGGGGAAACGAGCTGAGAGGCCACTGACTTGCTCGTGTGGCCGTGGCGTCTGAGATGCACTCGCTGGTTAAGATGGGGTGGGAGTGCTTTCCAGTTCAGACTCTTACCTTCTCTCAAATTGTCCGAAGAAAATACTGGATCGGCTCATAGATTTCTGCTCCTTATGCCCTAACTTGGAAGGTTGTTATAGGGACAGGCCGGGCAGTGTCCCCACATACGTGTGGCCCTGGCCTTTAGAGTCTAAGGCTCCGGGGCCTCGCTGTCACTTGCCCGAAAGATCCTTTCCGGCAGCTAAGGGACTAATAATGCTTACGTCAAAACATCAGAATCGGCTTTGCAGTGCACTTTGGGGAGCAGATATTAACTTATTTTTGTGTTTGACAGTAGTGAAATATTGTGACTTTTAATCGCTTTGATAATACTTCCAAATTATTTTATGATCTTTCTGAAGGAAATACTGCAAAAATTTTAAATATGGTTCCTCCCCCTTTCCAAAACCTGTTAAACTAATGAGCAAATAACACTAACTTTGAATGTCTCTAGAATACCCGTTGATAACTCGGTGGAGCCAGGCAGTGGGGTAGCGGCCCTGAGCTTGCAGGGCTTCTCTCCACTGCCGCTGACCAGGCCCCCAGCTGTGACTGTGGGTGTGGTTGGCTCCCGGCCCTGCCCAGCTTTGTTCTGAGGATGCGGTGGCTTCCTGATCATCGGCTTCCAATTCTGTCATTAATGTGAAGCAAAACACAAAAACTGCCCCAATCCCTCAGGATTCCTTGGCATCCGAAACCAGGATCTGCACCTAAACCCATACCCACCCGCGTGTGGTCACAGGGGATATGTCCGATTGGGCAGCTTAAAACGTGGTCACCTGTGGGGGAAACTCTTCAGGCACCCGAAGTGAGAACCCAGCTGTCCATCCTCAGGCCAGCCTTTCTTTTGGTGACGCCCGTCCGCGGCTGTCTGGGTTCCCTTCGTGGTGTTTGTCTTGACCTCTAAACCCCGGTGTGCGCAGTGCCCATCTTCCAGAACTACCTTATTTTCAAGAATTAAACCTGTTTTATAATTCAAGTTAATGCAAATGACTGTCAGTTGCCAAATATCTTGATCCTATGAGTGTAGTTGATGACTGTTAGTCAGTAGAGTAAAATGCTGTGTCCATGGGGTGTCACAGCCTCAACAGACCCTGTTGAGGTGTGAAATGCCCTGTCAGAAACTAAATACAAACTTAAATGTGCCTATTCGTGTCTAAACTTCATACAATATAAGGTCAGATTCCTTTTAGGAATACTGGGTGCTGTCACCAGGTTTGATAGTTAGACTTAAAAACTTGAAATTCACTTTTGGGGGGGATATACTGAAATAGAGATTTGAGACTTGCCAGTTGGGGGAAAATAATAGCATTTAAAATGGAAAGCTGTGTTTGGAAAATTGTGTATGAGTATTTTTGTATTAAAAACATTGTAAAGGCTTTTTTTCTTAACTTATTTTACATGGGATTGTTTGATTTTTTATTTCCAGTTACTTTGAATTGCAAAGCATCGGGCGTGGCGCTGATGCTTCCAATGGGTGGGGCTCCCTGTCCTGACCGTGTCATTTTGCCTTTGACCTGACCCGCTGGGGAGAGGCAGCGCCATCTTGGGAAGTATAACAAATACTGGAAATAGCAGGCGTAACTGACTTTGGAAAAATGCTTTCTTCTTTCAGAAATAATTTGCTTCCCAAATTCCCATTGAAGGCGAAATGGTCTGGAGAGAAGGAACCACTGCTGTCCCGCAGCCCTGCAGTCGACTGAGCCGGGTGGTCCCCAGGCCCGCAGCCAAGTCAAGGGAGTGCCCCGAGGGCTGACCCTACCTGTTCCTCACCCTGTGGGCCAGGGTGTCCTAGGAAGCCCCCAGCCCTGGACCACCCCATCCTGACGGCCGCCTAGGGAGGGACTGGGTCCCCGGAGCAGGGAGGACAAGCTGGCCCCAAACACAGCTATGGTGGCTTTCTTTAGAAAAGCTAAACTTTAATGGTTCAGATAGTTTTACAATGAAAATAGGTACCCAAATACTGTCTTAAATGTCCACAACTGTACAAAAGATGAATACAAAACTCCCAGGCAGGCACTGGCAGGGGACAAGGCCTGCCGTCTTCCACACTCTGGTGTGGTCAGGTGTCCCTGCCCCACCCCCAGTACCACCGTGCCAAGGGCACTGCCCCAGCGAGGAAAATAGAAAAGATTTTAAAAAGTAAGAGTCTAACAGGCAGAGCTGTCACTAAAATTAGGAAGTTGTAACTTTTTTGGTTAATTTACTACATTCAAAAATGGAACGTTGAGTCCAAAAAGTGTCTTAAATCACACAAAAAGGAACCCATATTAAAAATTTAAAAATAAGCCCAAAACACCCCAGAGAAATGCATCTAGAACTTAAAACAGGCTGGGTCAGCAGCAGGGTGGTGGCTGGGGGACCTCGTGGGCCAGGTGTCCGCTGTCTGGTTAATTTAAGCCGGCAAAGCCATCGTCCCTTGGAGCCCCCAAGTGAGGGCCAGCTGTGAGGCAGGTGGCCCTAGGACACGTTGGTCATGGGCTTGTACTTCTTGAAGCGTGTCCACTGACCCGTGGCATAGTTCATCTCGAACACTGTGTCCACCAGCATGGTTGTGCTGCCCTGGCCATCCGCCTTGGGCAGGTCCTCCGTGTGCTCGCTCAGCTTGATCTGGATCACGTCCCCCTGCTCCTGGCATGGGTTCTCTGCAGAGAGCAGAGGCTTCTGGGTGGGTGTCTGGGGCCAAAGAGCCTGCCCCCCACCCGGCCCGGTGCGCCCCCAGACCCTGCCTAATGAACACACCTCGGGAGCCGGCCATGAAGCCCAGGATGAGGGCCTTCTCGGGCCGTGTCACTTTGTTGGCCGTCTTGAACATCTCCTGGGCAGCGAACATCTGCTCTCTCTACAGCGGGGAGAGGGGTGTGGGTACCAGGGCCCCACCAGGACCACCTCCTGCATCCCCCTGCAGGCACTGTGGCACCCCCATGCCACAGCAGGTGACCAGGGCCGTACCACCTACCTGGTGGCCTGTGGGCCCCGCCAGGGTACACCTACCGTGAGGGACAGGTTCTTCTTAGGCTGCTGCTGGGCAGAGGCCTGGGTCTGCGGGGCCACCATGGCAACTGGGGGTGTCTGAGTGGTAGGGGCGACAGCCGGAGGTGTGGTGGGTGTCAGAGGCGAGGTGGGCGCTGCAGGCGTGGGTGTGGCAGGGCTCAGGCCGCTGTTGTACATGGGTGCCCGCTGCTTGAACTGCGCTGGCAGCGTAGGGCTCGGGGTGCTGGGCTCCTCTGGTGGGCGGCTGGCTTCTCGGGAGGACGGGGCTGCAGGTAGACCGGGGCCTGGTGAGGGGGCTGGACCCCTACCCTGTTCCCAAACCCTAGTGCTCCTGGAGGTGACAGGCTCAGCTCCCCTTCTCTGTCCTGCTACCCTCTGACGAGAACTCCCTGGGGGCACAGGCCCAGGAGCCCCAGTCAGAGGAGCAAGGCCAGTGGTCTCAGGCCTTTCCAGACCCGCAGATAACATGTCTGGACTCTGGCCAGCTGCTGCCCTGCAGCGGGTCCCCATACCGCAGGCACTGGTGGGAAGAGAGGAAGGCCGTATCCTCAAGCCCCTGGGGCCCAGGACCTGGCCTGAGATGCTGTGAGCCTGGCAGTGCCCTCCATCTAGGGGGGATGGCCCTCGGCTCCCCTCCCGGCTACCCAGCAACAACAGCTGGGTCACCTGGCAGAAGACCCTTGCCAGCCCCATCCCCTTCCTGCAGTGTCCTGGGGCAGCTGTCTGGGCCCAGGACGGGCAGGGCAGGGCAAACAGCTGGTTTGTGTCGTGGAGCTCAAGCTGACAAGCAGGGCATCTGCCTCGGGTGGGGGACAACAGAGATGCAGGAGTGGGAACCGCAGCCCTGGCAGCACCCATGGGCAAGGCCATGTCCTGGTGGGTAGCTCAGCTGGTTCCAGACTGGGGCCAGCAGACTCACCTGGGGGCGTCTCGGAGCTGGGGATGTAGGAGGAGGCGGGAACCACGCTGGGCGTGGAGGGAAGGTAGCTCGTGGAGGGCAGCGCAGGCTCACTGTTCAGGGACCCAAGTTTCTGGAACACAGAGTTTAAGGTTTCTCCCAGAAGAGGCCATGCTTCCGGCATGTGCTAACTCACGGCCCGACCTGGAGCTCCACCGCCACAAGCTGTGGCCCCCGCCCCAAGCTGCAGCAGGAAGGCGGGGGCCACTCTCCAGAGCTCCCTGGGCTGGGCAAAGGGACTCCTGGCTCCTGGTGCCCCAGCAGAGTTGGGGACTGAGCGTCTCCTGTGTAGGAGAGGGGAGGGGTTGGGGAGCCCAAACTGCCCATCTCTGAGGACAGAAGTGATGCTTTTTCTTACCACGAAGCACTGATATAAAAGGAAGAGGCTCGTGTAAAGAAACCCCAGACGCGCAGCGACGGGAAGGAAGGAGCTTCTTATCCCCAAGTGACCCTGCAGTGTGGCCTCCTCCAGGCCCTGGCCTCAGACGACCCACTGTAGCCTCCGTGCACCTGCCGCGCCCCACGGCTGCCTCCTACCCGCAGGCAGGGCCTGGTCTCCAGGACACCGAGGCCTCTGACCACCCAGCACCCCCACAGGCCTGTCCTGTGCCCATTCACGGCCACCTGCAAGGCAGGTTCCACCAGTCCTGCCTGACAGGGGACACTGAGGCACAGGGGTGAGGAGGACTCCCCCAGCAGCCCATCCAGCAAGCATGGGGCAGGTTCCCGCTCGGAGCCTGAGTTGGATGACCATGTCAGGATGCGGCCCACACTGCCTCTCATATACACATATATGCATAAATACAAACCGCACACATATGTACATACACATATTATCCAATAGAACACACTAGAGTGGCCACAATCGGAACAAGAAGGGCACCTGCAGCGGTGCCAGACGTGGGGTGCTGCCCTGAGCCCTACCTGTGTGGACACCAGACCGGCCGCGTAGTCCGGGGTGGCGTTCTCCACCACAGTTTCCTCCTTGGCTGGCTTCTCCACCACCTCCGCATCTGTGGACAAAACAGGCGTCCTCACCAGTGCCCAGGTGCGTCTGCAGGCTCAGCTCGGGGCAGCAACAGGGAAGCAAACAGCTTCCCAGGAGAGGCCGCCAAGGAGCGAGGAGAAAAGCAGGCGCCCACCCACAGAAGAGGAGCCTCACAGGGGCACAGCCCTGCCCGTTGAGCGTGGACACGCCCCACCCCACCTGGCCAGGGCCCGCAGGGACCCCCACTGCCGCCTCCACGCAGGCCCCAATCCCCACCGAGAGTCTTCCTTCTCCTCTTCGCCTCTCGGCCAGCACCGACCATATCCAGCTCAGAGATGTCCAGCAGCTGCCAAGACAAGCACAGCCCTGCCTTAGTGACAGCACCAGGGCACGACAGGCCTCAGGGCGCCACAGGAGCTGGGGGACGGGCCCACCTTCACACCCCGTTCTTTCCTCAGCAGCGTCCTGGAAGGCGGGATGGGGGTCCGGTTCCCCGTGGGGCTGAAGACGCTGGGCGCCGTGGGGCTTCTGAAGGGCGCCTGCTTCGGGATGCCTTTGAGTGGGGCTGGAGGACGACAGCAACTGTCAGGGCCAGCAGCAGGGACCGGCAAACATCCTCCACCCGCTCTGAGCCCAGAACATCCCACCCCTTCTAGGCTAGCGCTGCAGTGGGGAAGGGCCAAATCCCTGGCGGGCAGCGGGCAGGACCCCCAGAATCCCAGACCTCAGGGAGCAGGGGAGTGCCTCGAGCCACAACCTCACACTTTGCCAAGACACCAAAGACAGCGGCACCCCAGCCCAGCCACAGGATCTCACCCGGTGGAGTCTCTCACCAGCACGGGGGGCTGAGCTCTGGCTCCTTCCTGTGCCTCCACAGGCAGGGGCTCGAAGCCAGGCGCCTGGGCTCGAGGACTGCCCTCCCGAGCCTTGTCCTGCTGTCCCGAGGATGCTCCTGAGGCCTACGCCATTACCCACCAGTGCCCACACACACCCTCCAGGGCATGCATGGCTCTCATGGTGCCAGGACCGGAGAGAGGGTGCCCGGCAGACCATGCCGTTAGCACACTGGGACAGGCTGGACACACTGCTCAACAGCTGGCCCACCCTCCCTGGGACAGCAGGTGCAGCCCCAGCCCTGGGATGCCTGGTTGGGGTGGAAAGACAAGGGTCTGCTCCAGGCGGGGCAGAGGAGAGCAAGGTGGAACCTTGGCTGCGGTGGGCAGGAATGTGACCTGGGGATGGCCCCCCGACGCAGGGACAACAGTCAGCAGACCCAAGATGCCTTCTACTAGGTCCCATGTGAACACTGTGGAATTATGGGAGCCCAAATAAACTAAGCCAGGCTGGTCCGGGGGCTGCATGGAGGGTGCCTGCAAGGCTGCCCTTTCAGCACCACCCATCTGCAAGTTTACCCAGCTGTCTCAGCACAGGACGGCACCCGTCCTGCCCTCTGGCCCCCAGGTCACTATCCAGCACCCTCTGGGGTGAGTATGCCCTGCTATGGTTCCCAGGGGCACGCCGTATTCCTGTGATCAGGGTCCATTCTGCTTAAGCTCACACCCGGCCCGGAGAGCACAAATGAGGAAGGGCAGATGGAGGGGTGCAGGGGCGCAGCCCCGTGGGCAGCGGAACACGGTCATGCCCTCCCTGCGGAGCCTCCCAGGGACACTCGGAACCCAAGAGCAGCACTTGGGGCTGAGAACCCGAGCTGGGAAGGCCGAAAGCTGCTGCCGACAGCAGAGAAGCAGGGGCCAATGCTGTCCTCCGATCCCGGCCTTCCTGTCTCAGCACCCACGCACCCTCCCAGGGCGCTCCCCAAGGGGAGAAGCTGGTACAACTGCCCCGGCGCCTTCGCTTTCCCGCGCGCTCCCAACACTGCTGCCTGCGGGTCATCCACATGCACCACCTCCCCAACAGGGAGCCGAGTCTCCAGGTCAAGCTCTTAGCTCTGCCCTAAAAGCAAGGCTCGCGGCACCGGGGTGGGGGCCTTACTGGTGGTGTCCATCTTCCGCAGCAGCCCCCGGCCCTTGGCGTGGAAGGGCACCCCGGCGCTCCGCTTCAGCTGCTGGGCGGTCTCCGTGGCTGGAAGGAAGAGGTCACATGTGTCAGGGATCCTCAGAGCGAGAGCTCTTGGCCCTTGTAAACGCATCTCTGTCAAGCGGATTCATCCGACGGCCTGAGCCGTGAACACTGCATTCTCTCTAATGAGCAGCTGTTTTGAGCAGGGCCTGACACCAGCTCGCACATTACAACAAGTCAGAAACTCACTCAGGTGAGCAAGTTTCGGGAGCTGGGTGGCTGTGGCTGCACCTCCCAGGACCCCACGGCAGGGGGAAGCAGCAGAGAAGGAGTTGAGGGGCCTCACTGGCCCACTCCGACGACCCGGGCCTCCCCCTGGCTGAGGGTCAGCAGGCATGGTCTAGACACAAAAATATGAGGAAGAAACAAACGAAGAGATTTTCCTGACTTGGTTCAGTGAGGCTGAAGGGTCAGGGGACACTGAGTGCCCAAAGCAGAGCCTGAGGCCGCTGCTGGCCTCCAAAAGGGATGCGTTCCACTGTGGGGTGGGGCCCAAGGGGCCAGCAGAGTCCTTCATGGGCTACCCGGTGCCCCTGGGGCTGCACGGAGCCTCCTGGACAGCGCTGGGCCCTGGCTGCTGCCTGTTCCAGCCAAGACCCACGCACAGCTGCTGTCAGCCTTTTATTTGGATTCTCTAGAAACGGGGTATTGATGTACATTATAAATATTCATTCTGTAACCATTCAAAATAAAACGATTTTATTGTAATCTTTGTCGTGCTTTGGGAAAACGTTAAATGAAATGATTAAATATCTTTCAAGTCAAATTGAGATCACTGGCCACTCAAGAAGGTAGCAACGTGACAGTAAGGACGGTGCCCCTCCAGTCATTCACAACGGCACCCATCGTGCCCAACAGCGGGACTCAGCTGGCACAGAGTTCATTTGGTAACAGAGATTAGAGATGCTTTAACCTAAAATTCTGAAGTTTTTGATTTCTTTCTTTTTTTTTTTTTTGAGATGATGTTTTGTCCTTGTTGCCCAGGCTGGAGTGCAATCTCAGCTCGCTGCAACCTCCGCCTCCCAGGTTCAAGCGATTCTCCTGCCTCAGCCTCCCTAGCAACTGGGATTACAGGCCTGCACCACCACGCCTGGCTAATTTTTGTATTTTTCGTAGAGACGGGGTTTCACCATGTTGGCCAAGCTGGTCTTGAATTCCTGACCTCAGGTGATCTGCTGGCCTTGGCCTTCCAAAGTGCTGGGATTACATGTAAGCCACCACGCCTGGCTTAAATTCTGAAGTTTTTAAAGCGTGTTTTCAGAACACAAAGTTTAATATAGTGATAAATAAACTTCTAACAAAAAACTTTGGCCGGGCGTGGTGGCTCACGCCTGTAATCCCAGCACTTTGGGAGGCCGACGCGGGCGGATCACGAGGTCAGGAGATCGAGACCATCCTGGTTAACACGGTGAAACCCCGTCTCCACTAAAAATACAAAAAATTATCCAGGCGTGGTGGTGGGCGCCTGTAGTCCCAGCTCCTCGGGAGGCTGAAGCAGGAGAATGGCCTGAACCCGGGAGGCGGAGCTTGCAGTGAGCCGAACTCGTGCCACTGCACTCCAGCCTGGGCGATAGAGCAAGACTGTCTCAAAAGAAAAAAAAAAACTTCAGGTAGAACTTTATCTTCTTTTTTTTGAGACAGGGTCTCACTCTCACCCAGGATGGAGTGTAGTGGTGTGATCACAGCTCACTGTAGCCTCAGCCTCGCAGGCTCAGGTGATCCTCCTACCTCAGCCTCCCAAGTAGCTGGGAGCACAGGCACGCCACCACCATGCCTCGCTATTTTTTTGCTATTTTTGGTAGAGATGGGGTTTCTTGGCTGGTCTCAAATTCCTGGGCTCAAACGACCCACCTGCCCCAGCCTCCCAACAGGGGTGAGCCACCATGCCCGGCCCAGAACGCTATCTTGAAGGGGCAGTCTTGGTTCCTTAGAACCTAAAGAAACCTATGAGTGGAAACTACACAGACAAGGCCCGATGGCGGCCGTGGCCACTCACACTTCTGCAGCAGCTCCGCCCGCAGCGTGGCGCTCTTGGGTTTCCGCTTCAACTGAAAATGCTTCACCGGCGGCGTGAGGGGTCCCGCGAGGGTTGTCAGGGCGTTTTTGTTCAAGTACTGGCACTCCAGTGGCAGCATGGCAGACGCTTCACACTCGCCCACTGCGCGGTAAGAACCACACGACGGTTAGGGCGCCCAGGCCACAGAGCTCCCCGCTGAGAGGAGCTGGTGGCTGCCCGGCCCCACACCCTCCTCGGCGAGGGTTAGGTCATGGGAGCTGCAGCTGTTTTCGAGTCCCCGAGAGACTGACTCCCCACGGCTCCAGCAGAACACCCAGGAGTGTTTTCAGAACAGGAACGCCTGAGAGGTGGACGTGCCTCGAGAGGGCTGCAAACTGGAAAAAGTCTGGCACCGCGGATATTGAGAACCACAAGTGGACATAGTACAGTGATTCCCGGAGGGCTCCAGGCACTTCTAGAACATAAAATGTTAACGGATCCCATCCCCACGTAAGAAGGACCTCCCATCTGGGGCTTCTCTCTTCCCATCCCCAAGGATAACCAGGCCGGTGGTCTCTCCTGGAATCCCGGCCCTCATCCAAACTGCCCACATCCATTTGCTCAGTCCGCATGGTCACCCAGGGTTCAGAGCCCAGGAACTGCCCCACAGGGACAGGCAACCTCCCACCTGAACTGGCTACATGTCCCGCCTGGAGAAAAGCACAGGCAGGCAGCTGAGAGTTCACCGCCCTCGGCCTTTCTGCCTGCGGGACACTCCTGAGAGAACCAGCGGGGGGTGGGGTGGGGTGGGGTGGACCTGTCCAGGCCACTGCTCCAGAGGCACCTGCGTGGTGTGTGTGCTCTCACAGGTGGGCAGAGGTGCCACCTGCAGGTGGGTGGCCAGGAGGGCCCCTGCAGGAGTGTGCAGCCTCGATGTCTCCATCCCACAACCCTGTCTCTCTGGGTGCTGCCCTTGAAGGAGCTGGGGCACAACGTCTGGGCTCTGAGGAACCAGTGGCAATTGTCCAAAGCAGGAGAGAACCTCAGAGAAGCACAAGCATCCCATCAACACATGTTCTTCAAAACCATCTACAAACTGCTTTTTCTTTTTTTAAGAGAGACGTTCTTGGCCGGGCGCAGTGGCTCACGTCTGTAATCCCAGCACTGTTGGAGGCTGAGGCGGGTGGATCATGAGGTCAGGAGATCGAGACCATCCTGGCTAACATGGTGAAACCCCGTCTCTACTAAAAATACAAAAAAATCAGCCGGGCATGGTGGTGGGCGCCTGTGGTCCCAGCTACTCGGGAGGCTGAGGCAGGAGAATGGCATGAACCTGGGAGGTGGAGCTTGCAGTGAGCTGAGATCGCG